TATTAAAAAAGCAATACCTGATCAATCCATGCTCAGTAAAATTTGCCCAAGTCTAACTTAGGCTAAGATAGCCTAAGATGCTCCACCTTCACTATTAAGTCAAATCCTGTCACATTTACGATGGGAAACATGAAGTACCTAGAACAAGACACATAGCTCCCTCCATCAACACCTTACTTGGGGAGACAAAACAATATATTTGCCATCTGTATTCTAGGTTCCTACTAAGAGCTCACAGTAAACTGAATAAATCAAGGCTATGCTTTTAACATTTGACCCCCCCCAGAAAAAGAAAGTACAAATTAACCTGAACAATTCATTTAAATGAAATGTTTCCCCTCTGCCTCCCTTCTTTCTCTTAGTTTATTACTTGCAAGGTTCATCCAGGTTGTAGCATTTATCATTACTCTTTCTGTGGCTAAATGATATTTCACTGAATGTATATACCCTATTTATGCATGTCTATTCATCAGTTAAGAAACACTGGATTTCCTCTTTTTTACTATTTATGAATAACATTGCATTAATATTGGCCATATGAATTTTAAAGTAAAACCTGAAACTCCTGGGACTTCAGAATATCAAAATAGAAATGTATCCATGTGACTGAAAAAGAAAGGAAGCACACTTCTGAAACAGCACAGTCTCAAGGCAAGGAGACAGGACAGGGACAAGACAGGGAGATCAAATAACACGGCTGTGTTCTGGACTGGGATCAAGTTCTCAGGCAATAAACAAAGAAGGGCATAAGCACATCAATTTTTGAAGGCCAATGGGTGGCTAGAATATCGGTTATCTGTCTCTCCTCCATCCATTGATAGATCATCTATCTATCAATCAGTCAATCAATCAATCAATCATCTATGTATTCTTTTATGGTCACACTGATATGTTTATATTTAGATAAACACAGCTCGCAGTGTCAGGTCTGTCCTGAAGGGGTAGCCCTTCTTGAATTGGCAAGTGTGAAAGTTGTCAGCCAAACTCTGATCTTACACAGGGTTTTCAGTGTGTACTGAAGTCACCAGCTGAGAAATGTTCCAGCATTTCTTCCACTTACCTGCCATTCTATCTTACTGTAGCTAAATGGTGGGACTTTGAGGTGGAGTCACCCCCAAATTATTATTTTTTTGTCTTTTTGAGACAGGGTCTCCCTGTAGCCCCAGATGTCCCAGAACTCACTATGTAGACCAGGCTGGTCTTGAACTCATAGAGATCTGCTTGCCTCTGCCTCCCAAGTGCTGGGACTACAGGCGTGCACTACCACGCCCAGCTTAATTATTATTTATTTTATGAGTTGACACTGACGGAACTCAAAATTTTTAAAATGTGAATAATATTTTTCAAAGACTGGTAAGATAGCTCAGAAGGTGGAAATGCTTGTCCCCATGCCTGGGGGCCTGAGTTCAGTCTCTAGATCCCACATGGTGGAAGGAGAGAACTGAGACCTACATGTGCATGGTGGCACACAGACAAACACACACTCACCCTTGCACAAAAAAACAAATGTTTAAAAAAGTGGTCTTCAAAACATAAAACTGAATTTCCTTCTGCGATGACTAATTCCAACAGTTGCCTTTTATAGCTTCTGCATTTGTATTTACGCATTTAGAAACGTTATAAAGGAAATAGCTATGGTACTTTTTCTGTGTACTGCATCACCATCTTGTGAAAACAACTTCTTCCCCTTTTCTGTTTGACTCTCAGTCACATTTGATTAGTCACGTGTTTTAAACTTGGTTGCAATTTAAAATTTTAATGTGGCTCAAGTAATCCATTGGTATCTTCCCATCAGTGTTCATTTTTGTTCAGTTGACTTTTTCTTGTTATTAATGGCCTAATTTTGCATTTTGCATTCTTCTAAACTTTCCTTACTCCTCCCCTGGGTGCTTTTTGTATTTTAATTGCCAGTAAAGATCAAGGCTATTTAACTAGGTTGCCCTCAGGTTTATTTTTCTTGATTCCTTTCCTTTCAGTTGTTCTCTACGGATGTATTCTTCATCTGCCTGGTGACTGCCTCCCCTTCGTGGCTCCTGTCCTGCGAATACTACCGCATGCTCATTAGCTCCCCTCGACCCCATTCCCCTTAGGGCACTATTTCTTTCTGAGGTGCAGTTTTCTAAACTATTCCTTTTCATAGGTCCTTTCCTTACACATTTATGAACCTACTATTGTATTTTCTGTGCGCAGAAGAGAAATAGTACTGCTTTCATCTTTATTATAGCTACCAAACCTCACAAGGGTAAACACAGGCTTTTCTCCGAAGGTTTGCTATATGCTTGAAGCTGCGCCTTTTTGTTATCTTCTAGGTGATTGCATGTGAACAGCAATTAGATACCACTTATGATGCTAGATGTGACACATGGTCCCTGGGTATCACCGCCATTGAGCTGGGTGATGGAGACCCTCCTCTAGCCGAGCTGCATCCCATGAGAGCACTCTTCAAAATACCAAGGTCAGGCAACCAACACCGAGTCCAAGATCTGCATCCCTTTTTCCTTCCTCTAGGCACTGTTTTCTCATCATGGAGATACACAGATATAGTCTAACAAGTTGTTTTATGGCATAGTCTCATATAACCTCTATGTTGTCTTAGAACTCACTTATGTAGCAGAGGATGACCTTGACTGGAATTGCAGATGTGCACTGTCATGCCCACCTTAGAGGCACAGCCCGGGCTGGCCTCTAACTGGTCATTCTGCCTTGTTCTCTTTAGCATTTGCCTGGCAGCTGGTACCACCACACTTAGCTAATTTCTCTACTATTTTAATACTATTTCATATATGTGTTTGTAAGCTGTAGGTGTCTCAAAAAAACAATAGGAAAAAAATTTCCCAACTTAATTATAGGAGTGTTTTTTAAATACCTTAAGGATACTGCCTGATCCCTGAATAAGGAAGGTGCACATATGACTTGTACCTCTAGGGATCTAGGGCAGAGTGGTGAAGTGGTATATGACAGTCTGTAACTATACACTCTGTTAATCCAATTTGGTGATTTCAGCATATATAGTCATGGCCCAAGGTGGGGGTGGGTAGGTGTCCTAATCTTAAAGAAATGACACCACCATGTTATATTCATTCTCAAATGGACCCATTTGAAATAGTCCATGTGTAATTAAAATTTTCTAGTACCAAAGCAATTATTTTTTATTACGTTGGAATTTTTTGTGTGTGGGCTCTGAATTATAATACATCATTCTTTATATAACAATGTCCAGTTTTGTCTCCAGCCTTATTAATTATGCTGCTTATTTGGTAAGTGGGGAAATTAGGTTCTAGGAGAGGAAAGCCTCTGCATACCAGCTTAAAAGTATTTCATTAAATCTGAGGAAAAATGGATAAATCTGTTTTTCCTAACTCCTGTCATCACTCAGTGTGTAAGCTGTGCACTCCTAAGCCTCTTCAGTCATGGTGCAGGCTGTCGTATCGAACCTCATATTATAATTCTCGGTGATAATGATGCAGTAAGGAAGGGTGAGGACCCCGGTCTACAGTGCCTTGGTAATGCCCAGGGTGCTGAGTCTTCTGTTAGGTGCATCATGCTAGTTAATGTTGTATTATTTCTACCACTAGTATATCTCCAACTTCTGAGACTACTGACTGCAGAAATATGTGGAAAGGAGAATCTGAAAAGCTACCCAGTTCTGAGTGTTGTGAAACTGTCAATACTTTGCTAAACTCAAAGCAAGCCAGTGAATTTCATCAAAGGAAATTTCCAGGAGGACAAGAAACAAAATAAAAATGTTGGTTAAGAGAAGTGCCTTTTAAAATGTGCAAATCAGCAATCCTCAAATAGTCCTCAGGCCTGTGAAACAAGCTCAGGCCTGATCTTGGGAGATGTGCAGCTGCACTTTTCTTTAATGAGCCTGTACAAACTGTGCATTAATTTCATTATAAGCTGTTTAAGGCAAGATGCAAGACTGAAGACAAAGTATTTCCACCCGACTAATGAAAACAAAGAGCTGTGAAAATTAACACAAAGCGGCACTTCAGCAAATTTAGCCATCATGGCTGATCAATGTGGGTTGATTACAGAGTCACATCAGCCTCACTGTCGGGTGATGGTCCCTGGTAGGCACAGATGTGTCAAAAAATAAAAGATTTGTCCAGCATAAAAAATAAAAAGAATTAATAACAAATCTTTTAAGTGGCATTCAGCCTTGGCATTAACGATATTTTCCAATCTCTTGCTCTTGTAACACATCACATTTCCTGCTGTGTTTTTAGTAACAAAAGAACAGCTCCTGAAGGCATTTCACCCCTCTAGATGCAACATGCTCCCTGTTCCAGGGTCCCTCTGCACCATGGTTGTTCCTAAGAGACTTCTGTAGGACTCAGAAAAAGTCCTCAGGGTTGTCAGGCAATAGCCAGAAGATTCTTTAAGGAAAAAGTAATAACAGTTGGGAAAATTGAGCTATGCATTAAATGCTTTCAGAGAATCTAAGAAGTTGTCGTTTTCTATGAAGAATGATTGATAATTATCTCTCTTTGAATTGGAAAATGATGGCAATCTTTGATGATACTGGTGGAACCTGGGATGCATTAATACTTTAGTCTATTGACTGTGCTTCTCATATTTCACCATCTGATCAATGTACACCATCTGACTTTGATTCTTAATTTCTCTAGGAATCCGTCCCCCAAACTAAGGCAGCCTGAGCTATGGTCAGCAGAGTTCAATGACTTCATTAGCAAGTGAGTATCAGTAGGCTTACATAAAGCAACAGTATACTGCTATCACAGAATGGTGCCTCTTACACAGGCCACAGGCACCCAACTTCTCTTCCAACTTATCTGTTAAGCAGTTCAGGTCTCCATTATTTACTTCAAAGGAGGCATCTGTAGTAGCTGCTGAGGGTTCCATGAATTTATTACTGCTTACATAATGACCTCTGAGTCACGTTTATTCACATGCCTGTGACTACACTTCTGGAAACCTTGGCCTTTCGTGGATCCTGTATTGTCACTGGACATGCCTGTCTGTAGCTGCCTTTGCAGCCTGCCCTCACCTGTGCAGTCACTTACCTAACCCTTCATTGCTCTGCTTCATAGACTCTCAATACAGTCGTAGGTATTTCATTGCATTCAGTGAATCAGAAGATCAGGTTTGTAAAAAATGTATGCATTTGAAATTCAAAGAACTTTTTTTTTGATTTTTTGAGATGGGGTCTCCCTGTAGCCCCAGCTGGCTTGGAATTCACCATGTAGACCCCTCCGGCCTTGATCTCACAGAGATCTGCCTGCCTCTGCCTCCCACAGATTAGAAGTGTGTGCCACTGTACCTGACTCTCAGAGAACATTTTTAATTTGACAGCTATTTAATGCACGTGATCTGCCTCCACACAGTTAATTAGAAATGAATCAGCATCTGTAGAACTTTTTCACAATTTTTACTATCTTTGCCTTAAACGAAGAAGGTAAGGCATGACTGCTGATTGTTAATAGGAGGGAGGGTCCATGTTGATCTCATGTGCCAACCCATTCTGCAAACACAGCCAGAAGAACATTACTGTCACTGGGGTTCTTATCAAGAATATCCATGAATTTTCTAAAGGCAAGAGATTTAGCTTTAAGAGTTTGTAGAAATTTGATATGGATTGATAATTTTTTAAGTTTCCATGACCACGGATTATAAGCATGTGCTAGGCACACCGTCTTATTGCTCAAGTCTCGGGGAGAATCACAGTAATGCTAAGGATGCCCCAGTGTGTCTACCTGTCCACAAGAACCCTCCATGCAACAGTGTATCTTAGTTTATTGGATTAGTTTCTCCATTTCTTCCCAAGAAACACCCCCAGGCTCCCCTGGAATTCAACACTCTACCCTGTGTGCTCGTCTTCTGTTCCTCTTCCACTGGTAACACTTTCCACTTCATTGAGCTCGCCTCTTCTGATGTCTTTTTGTCTAACCAGACAAGTAACTCTGGAGCACTATGCACACCTTTCCTCTTACCACCACTCTAATGTCTAGCGGAGTGCCAGGTACACATTTGCTATTTGATGATGTAATAAACGATTTTGTGTGCAATTTTTAGCACATATGCAAGGATGCTGCACGTGGAAGAAATTCCTTCATTTCATTAAACTAAATGAAACTGCAGGACACGTGTCCTTGTTTTCAGACATCGCCATCCTCATTTCATATTTTAGCACCCCTAGGGAAACTTTTTAGTTAAGCCTAATAAAATAAATTGTTGGATTATTATCCTATGAGGATCAACAATGCTGATCATCAATGGTGAGACAGGAAATCCCAACTGAGTGTGAAATGAAACCATAATGAGGAAAAGACTCCCCTAGTGTAACCCTCCCTTTCGCTACTGCAACATGCTTACCCCTCAAACTTCCCACTCACACTCTACTGTCATGTAGGCTAGTGATTCCAGTGCATACCCCCCTCCACATAAGCTAGAGACCCCTGCACATGGCCCACAGTCACATAGGCAGGAATTCAAACTCACCAATAGCAGAAAATGTTAGAAATGACTCTGGACTGGCTATAAATGTTTGGAGTAGCTGTGGTTCAGGGCTCACTTTGGAGGTGTTACTCTCCCTGAGTCCCAGCCAGCAGAAATGAAGCTTGCAATTATCATTCAGTCTCCAGTCCCTGTTCTGAATGTGGTGATTCCCTAACAATGATACTGCTTAAGAGGTTTGGATGGCAGCGGCTGCTCTCTCTATCTCCTCCTGTTTCTCCTCCTCTTCCTCCTTTCTTCCTTGTTTTGAGATGGTAGGGATTGAAGTCAGGGCCTCACATATGCTAGGAAGGTGCTCTACCGCTGAACTACATTCCCCAGCACTTTTTGTATTATTTTTATTTTGAGACACTCCCTAAATTACTTGGGCTGGCCTTGAACTCACTCAATCTGGCCTTGAATTTCTGAGATTACAGGCCCGGACCATCAGGCCCAGCTTTTTTTTGTTTTGTTTTTTTTTTTTGTTTTTTTTAATATTTTAATATCCCCAAATGACAGTCAATTTGTTTCTTAATTAAAGAGTTTCTATATTTCAGGGTCAAATGGGACTTAGAAAGTTCTGTAGCTCTTGGGGTTGGAAAGAAGCCTTTGTGGGTAAAGTGCTTGCTACATAATAAACATGGAAACCTGAGTTTGGAGCCCCAGGATTCTCATAAAAAGCCTGATATGTCGGCACATGTTTGCATTCCCAGCACTAGGAGGTGGAGACAGGAGGATTCCAGGGATTCACTAGCCAGTTAGTGGGTTCCAGGCTCAGCTGGTGAGTTCCAGGTTCAGCAAGAGATCTTGTCTCACAAAACATGTGGACAACGATAGAGGACAACACCAAATATCAACTTCTGATCTCCATATGAGAATGCACAAGTGCGTGCGCGCACACACACACATACACACATGTGCATACATACATATAGCCTACACTTGAAAAAAAGAGAATTATATGGTTCGAACATGTATCCAGAGCTTAAGTCCTCCTTAACCATGTGCACTGAGGAGACATTCAATCAGAACATAAATAACCCTCATAAGAAGTTTCATGCCTCCCAGTGTAGTCCCTTCCACCTTGAGAACTCACATGAAAAATTCTTCTTTACAAAGTCCTATCTCCTCCACCACTCAATCTTGGGATTTTTGTCCCTAGTAACCACTAAGAACTTGTCAAATCCAGAAGTTCTGGCTGAATAAATACCCTTAACTTGCTCAGTGTTCTTCCCGTCACCCTCACCAGCCACACGCTTTCACTTACCTTACCCCATGAACAAGCTGTGGTAGATCATGTCCACATGTGCAATATTCATCAGCACATCCATCACATGACCCCAGGGGACATGGAATCTAACTAAACCTCTTCAGCAGATTAACCGTCCCATGGGTTAGCAGTTTTATCACCAGAAAGAAATAGATTGATCAAAAAGTCTTTAAAAGCACTGTGAAAGAGGGCTGAAAAGCTTGTGTTCATTTTAGTTACCTAAGCATTAAGGTCTTCGATATTTACTGACTTGGAAAGGAGACTTTGCAGGGGACACAGAGTTTAATTATCAGGATGCAGCAATGCTTGGTGGAAGACGAAAAAAAGCGTAATTGGCTGAAAGGTAGTTTACTGCCGCATGGTCACTCACAGAGGCAGACACTTCCACAAACACCGGCCATTTGCAGTTTCATATATCCGAGATGTGCGTGGAATGAATATTTGTGAGAAGCATCAACTCTGAGTAGTTTTTGAAATTACAGATAATAATTTCAAAGCTCTAAATTATCTAACAATTGTGCATTCCTTTCGGCCAGTGCAGATGTTTGACCAAAGACTATGAAAAGCGTCCAACGGTGTCAGATCTGTTACAACATAAATTCATTACTCAGATCGAGGGCAAAGATGTGATGCTACAGAAACAGCTAATGGAATTCATTGACATTCATCAGTGCATGGGAAGCACGGAAAAGGCCAGGTAATGAAATGATAACTCAAGTTTCAAAGACCGAAGAGTATGTCCAGTTTTATAATTCAATAGTTGCTGAGGTGAAGGAACTCTGAAGTTCAGAGCTTGATTTCAATGCCATGGATGTTGGTACGGGAAGTGAATGTACATGCTGAGCTCCTGCCCCATTCCCCGCATTGCTGGAATTGCTGGCAGCATCTTAAAATAAGTTCATCAGAACAAAAATTATAAATTATAACCGATGGATGGTATCGGTACATAGGTTGCTATTTATTTTCCTTTATTTCCTGGTCTACAAAGTAAGGCATCTTTGCTGGGAAGGGGGATGTTGGGAGATACTGTGGAATGGTTGCAGGAGTTTTCTATTGTAGGCCAGTGCCTGAATATAGCAAATCACTCATAGTTATTCATCTATTCTGAGGAAGCAAAATGTACGTGTGAATGGTCACTTCTGTGACAGACTCCCCAAACAGTGTTTATTTTTCACAGAAGTTAAATTTAGCAATGTTAGAATGCATACAAATCAGGAAAATTTTCATAATAATATTATAACGTTTTACTTTTAAATATAATATTTAAACGTACTCAATCACTTCATTTGTGGACCTACATAAAAGTCATTTGTAATTGGCATATACTCTCAGTATTTTTGACCCAAAATAATACAAGCCAACTAAAAAGGAAAGCAGCTTAGTGAAAACTATGGGCAGCTCAAAGAATGGAAAAGAAGGTGAAGGATTGGCTTAGGCATGAAGGAAAGAAAGCAGCACTGCCTAATCTTCTCCCTCTAGAACTGCTCACCCTCTGAGGCCCACTCACCTGCCCCCAATGTTGACTGCAGCACACTGGGCTCCTGAACGCTGTACCATACTTGCAAACTGATTGGAGCTTGGATCACTCCTTGGAAACTCTGAATTTCATATTTGGTCATCAGATTCTTCATGCCTTGGCCTCAGGTGGTGCTCTAGGGGAAGCATATGGTGAAAATCACTCCATCCCCCTCACCTACAGTGTCCAGGGAGAGGCAGTCCCACCTCCCATCCGCTTTGGAAATTCTCCCCATATAGAAGGATGTTCTGGCCGCCAGTGGATGGATATCTATTTAAATATTTAAACTGGTTCCTAAAATCTTTCCTTTTATAAAATTTGAAACTTCATATAAAAATATTATCAAAGTATGGTTTATATTCCTTAGGAGACTGTAGCTCTGTATCTACTAAATGATAGCAATTTTGACATTAAAATATTCCCTTGTGATGTTTATAATTTACATTATTTTTTATTGTGTCATATTTATGCAATAATCACATAACTTCAGTATTTCACTTTATCCCCTTAGTGTGCTGGTGGTCATTAATGTTGATGCGTATAAATTATTTTGCATATAATTTCACAGAAACAAACAGGAATATGTCCAAGATCTTAATTGTTTCTTAGACCCAACACACTATGTGTATTTGTAGCACTATGTCAATTGTCCCTCTTGACTGATCATATATATATAGTTATAGCTATAGTTGTATAGTTGAGGGAAGAACACAAGGCAAACTCTCAGAAATTCCTCAGAGGATTAACAAATGAAGATGAACTGAAAAATTGTCCAACCATCTAGTGTTAAAGTTTCTGGCTCAAGCTGTCACTTCTTTATTAGGTGAGGATGTTATGCAGTGTAAAGTGATGCAAATGGGATTTTAATTTTACAAAACAGAACAGTAAGTGAACAAAGCAGAAAAATCAATAGGAAATAAAAAGCCTTCTTTCAATGCAGCGTAATGTACAATTCCATTTTGTGTTCCATTTTCTAGGCAAGATAATGCTTCTTTAGCTGTCGTAGTGGGGAGTGTTTGCCCTTTAGGACACTTACCCCTTCCTATCACAAGACTAAGGCACTCCTCCTGTAGTTCTTATGACAGCATTCTTTCAGTTCCTATCTTCACATAAAAGTCTTAAGGAAACTTCACACTTGAATTTATGCTACCCAACCCCAGATTACATCCTTTTCCTTTCTTCATAAAGACACCACCCTTCATCCATCATGACAACCAAAAAAAGTAGGGATTATTTTGACATAATTCTAGTCTTTCCATTTTCAGTCAAAAGCAAGGCTCAGTTTCTTTGAGCTGCTACTCAAACCAATGCCAAGTGTAGGATCATCTTTGCCGCCATTGAAATCATGGGTTAAGATGACATCCCGATTGTCTCAGTATTCACTGAAGCCATTGTGTAAAGCTCTGGATAAAGGTTTTATGTGGAGATCTGACAGTTGAAACCTGTGCAGAGTCTACCAGGGGGCTTCTATTTTAGTAAAGAGAAAAGCCAAGCATGTGAAAAGCTATTATACAAAGTAGGACGTTTCAATATCATAAAGTTGAAGCTAAAAAGAAGCAGAATACTTTTTTTCTAGCAGAGCTAGGAAAACTTTGACTAGCACTACAAGAAATAAACTGGCTTGATCCTGTGAAAATAGAGTTGCCACAAAGTAGACACCAATAGAGGAAAGAAGGCCTTGTACAAAATGAAGAGTTCAAGATGTGCACAGAAAGCCATACACTTAATCAAGCTCATAAGCCCCCAAATGGGATTTGAGTACTGCAGAGACCAGAGGGCTCTGGAACTCAGGGGTCTCACCTGTGTTCTTCACAGCACGAGGGAGCAGCCTGTTCCAGCTCACAAGCCTGTATCCTGCCAGGCAACAGATTTTCACTGGTTCTAAAAGTAAATAGTGGCTATCCTGAGGCAGACCACAGCAATAATTTTGCATGTACTTTTCTTGTTAACAATATGGTCTATTTCTCATTAACTTTCTTCCTGAGTTTAAACTGTAAATTTTTGGAGGCAGGGAGACTTAGTCTCCATGATGTTCATCTATCATCTGTATTTGTCTTAGTTGCCCTTCTACCGTCTCTGCAAATCATCATGGGTGAAAACATTGCAGAAGTTCATTATAGGCACTTGAATCAGAGGCCCTGGCTTCAGCCACCAGAGTGGCTTCTCCTTTGTCTAGTAAGTTTCACAAGAGCCAAACTAGGAACCCGGAGAAGAGCATTTTTCTCTTCACTGAGCTCAGTGTGCATTAATTCTAATGGCTTCAAAAATGAGGTATAATCTACTGGTATCTCAGATTGGTGAAGACAAGAGAACAAAGCTTTTCATTGTTGTTGTTTTAAGATATTTTATTGAGTTTTGTGCATTTCATATACTAGATTTTAAACAAATTTAGATCCCCTCCCCCATCCGTACCCTCCATCCTGCCCCACTGGATTTCATGCATTCTGTCATATATGTTAAGGCCTATCCAAGCATTTGTACCCAGATGTCCTTCAGTGCAAGTTCAGCCACTGGAGTCCAGTCAGCCTTTCTAGAGTTGCTCCCTTAAAGAATATCTGCTCTCCCTCCCCCAGCAGTGAGACTCCTATATTAAACCTCACCCACTCGCCGCCGCTCAGGGACCAATGTGGAAAAGGCCAGGAGGTGACTATAAGCTCCAGAGTTGGTGCATGAGCATAAGAGACAAAAGCTTTGAGAACCAGATAACCTAGAGTTTATTTTATTCATATAAGAATTTGTCAGGGCTGGAGAGATGGCTCAATAGTTAAGAACACTGGTTGTTCATGCAGAAGACCCAGGTTTGAATCCCAGCACCCACATGGCCGCTAACAACTGTCCCTAACTCCAGTTCCAGGGGATCCGACAGTCTCTTCTGTCCTCCGCAGGCATTGCACGACATGGGTGCACTTACCTACATGCAGGCAATACACGTGTACATATAAAAATTTTTTTAAATGAATAAAATAATTTTTAAAAAAGAATGTCACAAATCTAGAAAATGCATAACTTCATCACTATGATTAGATTTAGTAGATAGTCTAAGGCAAAAAAAGGAACAACAGATTACATAAAGGTAATTCTAACACTGACAAAGGCTAGTAGTGAATGGTGACTGTAAAGGGATCAAGAATTAGTTAGCTTCAGACCTGAAGAATATTTAGAAAGCTGTCATGAGCAGTTAGCAGCTAGTGTTTGCATAAGAAATCTTATCAATGTATATCAATATCTGTGTGGTTGTTTCTTAAATTGTTTGGGATGCATTAGGCTGTTGAATAAATATTCCCCAGGGAAGGCCCTATGCGTGCCTCTGCTCCTAAACAGCACTAGACAACGGAATTAGAATAAGTAGGAAAAGGAAACAGCCAATATATACCAAAAAGATATAAATGCTGAAATTCCAAGAGTATGCTGCATCAGTGCTTCAAAAGAGGACGAAGAACTTCCAAACCCTCCACGATCCATGAATCACACCTGGAGGAAACTGAGAACTGAGATCAAGTGTTATTGAGGCCACTCAGCAGATACCACTGTGCAAAGGCACTGGAGTTCGAGTCCAGTTGGCTTGAAGATCTCTGTCTAGGGGCTGGAGAGATGGCTCAGTGGCTAAGAGCACAGCTGGTCTTCCACAGGACCTGAACTTGGTTCCCAGCACCCACATCAGGTAGCTCACAACTACCTGTAACTCCAGTGCCACAAGATCCAACACACTCTTCTAGCCTCCATGGGCACACACACACATGTGGCATATACTTACATATACACATGCACATAAATAAAAGGTAGAATTAAAAATTAAGATCTCTGTCTAAATCCAACACTTTTTAATTCTCTAAAGAATAGTCATACAAGCCTAGATTGTTACTGCCAGAAAGGAACTTTTATGTGGTTTCTTCTTTTGTAGACAGAAAACTAAAACCTAAAGAAATTGAATCATGCCCTCTGCAGCTAAGTGACTGACACTCCAGGGCCAGCGCCAGCCATCACTTAAATTAGGTTCCTCAGACCAGTGCTTTTAAGAGTTTCTTCTCTCTTAACAAGTAATAGAAGTTAACAATTAGAAAACTGATGGTGGGGAGGATTTTTGTTTGGTGTTTAACTTCTTTGACCTACTTTGCATGGTCTATTCAAAATGGGCATTTAATCTTAAACTTTAGCCCATCTTTGAGGTACTGTAGTCGAAG